TTCATCCTTCCATCACCATTTATAGCCTTAAACAGTGGACCTGTCCCATACCACACTACTGTCCACAACCATGACCAGTCCACAGTCCTTTTCACACCCCATAATTCCCCCCAGCCGTGACCAGTTGCTCCATCACCAACCTCAGCCGTGGACCAGTCCCCTCCATCTTGACCAACAGCCCTGACCAGTCCCCTCCATCTTGACCAACAGCCCTGACCAGTCTCCTCCATCTTGACCAACAGCCGTGACCAGTCCCCTCCATCTTGACCAACAGCGGTCCAGTCCCCTGGATGGTCCCATCTTGACCAACAGCCCTGACCAGTCCCCTCCATCTTGACCAACAGCCCTGACCAGTCCCCTCCATATTGACCAACAGCCGTTGACCAGTCCCTTCCATCTTGACCAACAGCCGTGACCAGTCCCCTCCATCTTAACCAACAGCCCTGACCAGTCCCCTCCATCTTGACCAACAGTGCCGTGACCAGTCCCCTCCATTGACCAACTGACCATCCCTTCCATCTTGACCAACAGCCGCGACCAGTCCCCTCCATATTGACCAACAGCCGTGACCATTCCCCCTCCATCTTGACCAACAGCCGTGACCAGTCCCCTCCATCTTGACCAACAGCCCGTGACCAGTCCCCTCCATCTTGACCAACAGCCGTGACCATTCCCCTCCATCTTGACCAACAGCCGTGACCATTCCCCTCCATCTGGACCAACAGCCGTGACCAGTCCCCTCCACCTTGACCAACAGCCGTGACCATTCCCCTCCACCTGATCCCAACAGCCGTGACCATTCCCCTCCATCTTGACCAAGCCAGCCGTGACCAGTCCCCTCCATCATGGCCAACAGCCGTGACCAGTCCCCTCCATCATGACCAACAGCCGTGACCAGTCCCCTCCATCTTGACCAACAGCCCTGACCAGTCCCCTCCATCTTGACCAACAGCCGTGACCAGTCCCCTCCATCTTGACCAACAGCCGTGACCAGTCTCCATCATGACCAACAGCCGTTACCAGTCCCCTCCACCTTGACCAACAGCCGTGACCAGTCCCCTCCATCATGACCAACAGCCGTGACCAGTCCCCTCCATCTTGACCAACAGCCGTGACCATTCCCCTCCATCTTGACCAACAGCCCTGACCAGTCCCCTCCATCTTGACCAACAGCGGTGACCAGTCCCCTCCACCTTGACCAACAGCCGTGACCATTCCCCTCCACCTTGACCAACAGACCCACCGGTGACCAGTCCCCCTCCATCTTGACCAACAGCCGTGACCAGTCCCCTCCATCTTGACCAACAGCCGTGACCAGTCCCCTCCATCATGACCAACAGCCGATTGTGACCAGTCCCCTCCATCATGACCAACAGCCGTGACCAGTCCCCTCCATCATGACCAACAGCCGTGACCAGTCCCCTCCATCATGACCAACAGACCAGTCCCCCTCCATCATGACCAACAGCCGTGACCAGTCCCTTCCATCTTGACCAACAGCCGTGACCAGTCCCTTCCATCTTGACAACAGCCCTGACCAGTCCCCTCCAATCATCCCTGACCAGTCCCCTCCATCTTGACCTAACAGCCCTGACCATCCCCTCCATCATGACCAACAGCCGTGACCAGTCCCCTCCATCATGACCAACAGCCCTGACCAGTCCCCTCCATCATGACCAACAGCCCTGACCAGTCCCCTCCATCTTGACCCAACAGTCCCCTCCCTGACCCAGTCCCCTCCATCTTGACCAACAGCCGTGACCAGTCCCCTCCATCATGACAACAGCCGTGACCAGTCCCCTCCATCTTGACCAACAGCCTGACCAGTCCCCTCCATCATGACCAACAGCCGTGACCAGTCCCCTCCATCATTGACCAGTCTCCCTTCCAATCTTGACCAACAGCCGTGACCAGTCCCCTCCATCTTGACCACAGCCCTGACAGCGTAGCCATCGTTCCTTTGACCAACATCCCTGACCAGTCCCCTCCATCATGACCAACAGCCGTGACCAGTCCCCTCCATCATGACCAACAGCCGTGACCAGTCCCCTCCATCATGACCTTGAGCCGTGACCAGTTCCCCTCCATCATGACAACAGCCGTGACCAGGTCCCCTCCATCATGACCAACCACCGTGACCAGTCCCCTCCATCTTGACCAACAGCCCATGACCATGACCAGTCCCCTCCACCTTGACCAACAGCCGTGACCAGTCCCCTCCACCTTGAAAAGCCGTGACCAGTCCCCTCCATCTTGACCAACAGCCATGACCCCATACCTTCCCAGAGATGATGCACGATAATGATGTCCTTGCCTTCCACCCACAGGTAACACGTATTTCTTCAAGGGCTCCCAATACTGGCAGTTCAAGGATGGAGACGTGGAGGCGGAGCCCGGCTACCCACGCAGCATCGCCAGAGACTGGATGTACTGCAGGAGCGAATCACCGCCGCAGCCCACAGAGCAACCTGAGAGACGAGACCAGCAAGACTGCAACTGCCCATGTGTGCAGGGAAACCACGCAGCCCATTGGAAGGCCAGTATGTCGTTCATCGGCCTAACTGCTGTTCTCAGCATGGTGACCTGGAACTAGAGCAGGCCTCATATTGAGGCACAGGGACTCTCCTCCACCAATCAGCAGCCAATGTCCTGGCTTAGCCCAATCTTTTATTGACAGAAAGGATTCTTGCTGTACAGATTACAAAACAAAAAAAAGAACAAAAATAAACACGAAATAAGTTTCACTGATTCATCTCACTTCTTACGAAATTGCCTATGCAGGACGAAAGAAGGTAAAGGGGCGGGGTTTTGCGCCACGCCAACCAGAGCGCCACGTTATTGGGCGCCTCGAGTGAGAAGGGCAGCGCTATGGCGGACACCGAGGCAGGACGACATCTTGCCAATAAAAGTTCATTTGAGTACATGGAGGGGCAGCAAATTCACATTATAGAGTATGTCGGAGTCTGTCTGCAGCCCGGGACACAATGTCTGTACAGGAGGCCACGTCCCACAAGTCTGTAAGATCCCAAAAGTAAGACGAGGGTGTCAAAGGGGCCCTCAATGGGGGGGGGAGGGGAAACCCAAAGTCTTCTCTAGGCTGGAGAAGCAAAATCATCGATCAAGGAGACCTGCAGAGAAAGACACAATACATTACAATGGGCCACTAAAGAGGAGATTTATCTGACACAGCGGGAGAGCGGAGACAGCGGGAGAGAGCGGGAGACAGCGGGAGAGAGCGGGAGAGAGCGGGAGACAGCGGGAGACAGCGGGAGAGAGCGGGAGACAGCGGGATCGGAGAGAGCGGGAGACTGCAGGGGGGAGACTGCGGGAGAGAGCGGGAGAGAGCGGAGACTGCGGGAGAGAGCGGAGACTGCGGGAGAGAGCGGAGACTGCGGGGAGAGCGGAGACTGCGGGAGAGAGCGGAGACTGCGGGAGAGAGCGGAGACTGCGGGAGAGAGCGGAGACTGCGGGAGAGAGCGGAGACTGCGGGAGAGAGCGGAGACTGCGGGAGAGAGCGGAGACTGCGGGGAGAGAGCGGAGACTGCGGGAGAGAGCGGAGACTGCGGGAGAGAGCGGAGACTGCGGGAGAGAGCGGAGACTGCGGGAGAGAGCGGAGACTGCGGGAGAGAGCGGAGACTGCGGGAGAGAGAGCGCGTGGAGAGCAGAGTCAGCGAGAGAGAGCGCGTGGAGAGCAGAGTCAGCGAGAGAGAGAGCGCGTGGAGAGCAGAGTCAGCGAGAGAGAGCGCGTGGAGAGCAGAGTCAGCGAGAGAGAGAGAGAGAGAGAGCGCGTGGAGAGCAGAGTCAGCGAGAGAGAGAGAGAGAGCGCGTGGAGAGCAGAGTCAGCGAGAGAGAGAGAGAGAGAGAGCGCGGAGAGCAGAGTCAGCGAGGAGAGAGAGAGAGAGAGAGAGCGCGGAGAGCAGAGTCAGCGAGAGAGAGAGAGAGAGAGAGCGCGGAGAGCAGAGTCAGCGAGAGAGAGAGAGAGAGAGAGAGCGCGTGGAGAGCAGAGTCAGCGATGAGAGAGAGAGAGAGAGAGGAGAGCGTGGAGAGCAGAGTCAGCGAGAGAGAGAGAGAGCGCGTGGAGAGCAGAGTCAGCGAGAGAGAGAGAGAGCGCGTGGAGAGCAGAGTCAGCTGAGAGAGAGAGAGAGCGCGTGGAGAGCAGAGTCAGCGAGAGAGAGAGCGCGTGGAGAGCAGAGTCAGCGAGAGAGAGAGAGAGAGCGCGTGGAGAGCAGAGTCAGAGAGAGAGAGAGAGCGCGTGGGAGAGCAGAGTCAGCGAGAGAGAGAGCGCGTGGAGAGCAGAGTCAGCGAGAGAGAGAGAGCGCGTCGGAGAGCAGAGTCAGCGAGAGAGAGAGAGAGCGCGTGGAGAGCAGAGTCAGCGAGAGAGAGAGAGAGCGCGTGGAGAGCAGAGTCAGCGAGAGAGAGAGAGAGCGCGTGGAGAGCAGAGTCAGCGAGAGAGAGAGAGAGCGCGTGGAGAGCAGAGTCAGCGAGAGAGAGGAGAGCGCGTGGAGAGCAGAGTCAGCGAGAGAGAGGGGAGAGCGCGTGGAGAGCAGAGTCAGCGGGGAGAGAGAGGGAGCGCGTGGAGAGCAGAGGGAGAGCAGCGTGGAGGAGCAGAGTGAGAGCGCGTGGAGAGGGGGGAGAGTGAGAGCGCGTGGAGAGCATAGTGAGAGCGCGTGGAGAGCAGAGTGAGGGGCGCGGGGAGAGCAGAGGTGGAGCGCGTGGGGAGAGCAGAGTGAGAGCGCGTGGAGAGCAGAGTGAGAGCGCGGAGAGCAGAGTGAGAGCGCGGGAGAGCAGAGTGAGAGCGCGTGGAGAGCAGAGTGAGAGCGCGGGGAGAGCAGAGTGAGAGCGCGTGGAGAGCAGAGTCAGCGGGGAGAGAGAGAGCGCGTGGAGAGCGGGTCAGTGAGAGAGAGCGAGCAGACATGGCAGAGACCACTGAGCAGGTCCCGGGTGTACACATCCTAAGACGGTCCCTTTCCCAGGAGAAGTAGAGGCAGCAGCAGGACTGTACCTGGAGGGCCTCCTGTGGGAGTAGCGGGGGGGTCCTGGAGAATCTCTCCGCCTCTTGCGCTCAGGGGGAATTGGATTCCTCCAGGAATCTCGTTCTCTGGAATGAAGAAGACGAAGGTCAGGGTTATCTGCAGGCGACATTTCCATCCGTCACGTGATGATGGTACGGTCACTTACCTTCTGCGGGGTGGAGGAGGGAGGGGGGGCGGCGTCTCTCAGCTGGAGAATAACTCAGGGAACGAGAATCCCTCAGCGAGTCGATGGGTTTACGTGGACTGCGAGACCTGGGGACAAGGAAGAGAGCGGAGGTGAGCTACTCACTACACAGGGGAAGCCATGACACCTACTGAGAACACCCCACTGCTCATACTGCAGGGGGGGGGCGGCAGGGGCGAGCGGGAGGGGCGGGGGAGCAGAGAGGGCGAGCGGCGGGAGGGGGCGGGGGAGCAGAGAGGGGAGCGGGGGGGGGAGGGGGGGAGCAGAGAGGGCGAGCGGGGGGGCGGGGAGCAGAGGGGGCGAGGGGGGGGGGGCAGGGGGGGGGGGAGGGGGGCGAGAGCGGGGGGAGGGGGGGGGAGGAGAGGGCGGCGGGGGAGGGGCGGGGGAGCAGAGAGAGCGAGCGGGGGGGAGGGGGAGCAGAGAGGGGGAGGGGGCAGAGGGCGGGGAGAGCGAAGAGGAGGACGGGGGAGGGGGAGGGAGGAGAGCGAGCGGGGGGCGGGGAAAGGAGGAGCAGAGGGAGGGGGGGAGGGGGCCGGGGGGGAGGGGGGCGAGGAGGGGGGGGGAGCGGGGGGGGGGGGGAGAGAGGGAGGGGAGGGGGGGAGGGGGGGGGAAGAGCGAGGGGGGGGCAGAGGGGGAGAGAGGGGGAGAATGAGAGGAGGGAGGGGGGGGGAAGAGAGCGAGGGGAGGAGGGGGGGGAGAGGGGAGCAGGGGGGGGGAGCAGGGGGGGAGGCAGAGGGGGGGGAGGGGAGGGGGGGGGGAAATGAGCAGGGAGGGGGGGGGAGGGGAGCCAGAGGGGGAAGGGGCGGAGGGGCCAGGGGGGGGGGGGGGGGGAAATGAGCGAGGAGGGGGGAAATGAGGAGCCAGCGGGGGAAAAGAGCAGATGGAGACGAGCGGGGGAAGGGGGGGGAGGGGGAGCGGGGAGGGGGGGGGAAAGAGCAGAGGGGGAGCGAGCCAGCGGGGGGGAAACGAGCAGAGGGGAGAGGAGCCAGCGGGGGAAACGAGCAGAGGGAGGCGGGCGGGGGAAAGGGGGGGGGGGAAGCAGAGGGGGGAGAGCGAGCCAGGGGGGAAACGAGCAGAGGCGGGAGAGCGAGCCAGGGGGGGAAACGAGCAGAGGGGAGAGCGAGCCAGCGGGGGAAACGAGCAGGGGGAGAGCGAGCCAGGGGGGGGGACGAGCAGAGGGAGAGCGAGCCAGCGGGGGGGAAACGAGCAGAGGGAGAGCGAGCAGAGGGGGAAACGGAGCAGAGGGAGAGCGAGCCAGCGGGGGAAACGAGCAGAGGGAGAGCGAGCCAGCGGGGGGAAACGAGCAGAGGGAGAGCGAGCCAGGGGGGGAAACGAGCAGAGGGAGAGGAGCCAGCGGGGGAAACGAGCAGAGGGAGAGCGAGCCAGCGGGGGAAACGAGCAGAGGGAGAGCGAGCCAGCGGGGGAAACGAGCAGAGGGAGAGCGAGCCAGCGGGGGAAACGAGCAGAGGGAGAGCGAGGGCGGGGGAAACGAGCAGAGGGAGAGAGCGAGCCAGCGGGGGAAACGAGCAGAGGGAGAGCGAGCCAGCGGGGGAAACGAGCAGGGAGGGAGAGGCGAGCCAGCGGGGGGGGAAACGAGCAGAGGGAGAGCGAGCCAGCGGGGGAAACGAGCAGAGGGAGAGCGAGCCAGGGGGGGAAACGAGCAGAGGGAGAGCGAGCCAGCGGGGGAAACGAGCAGAGGGAGAGCGAGCCAGCGGGGGAAACGAGAGGCAGAGGGAGAGCGAGCCGAGGGGGGAAACGAGCAGAGGGAGAGCGAGCCAGCGGGGGAAACGAGCAGGGGGAGGGAGAGCGAGCCAGCGGGGGAAACGAGCAGAGGGAGAGCGAGCCAGCGGGGGAAACGAGCAGAGGGAGAGCGAGCCAGCGGGGGAAACGAGCAGAGGGAGAGCGAGCCAGCGGGGGAAACGAGCAGAGGGAGAGCGAGCCAGCGGGGGAAACGAGCAGAGGGAGAGCGAGCCAGCGGGGGAAACGAGAGAGGGAGAGCGAGCCAGCGGGGGAAACGAGCAGAGGGAGAGCGAGCCAGCGGGGGAAACGAGCAGAGGGAGGGAGCCAGGGGAAACGAGCGAGCAGCGGGGGAAACGAGCAGAGGGAGAGCGAGCCAGCGGGGGAAACGAGCGGGAGCAGAGGGAGAGCGAGCCAGCGGGGGAAACGAGCAGAGGGAGAGCGAGCCAGCGGGGAAACGAGCAGAGGGAGAGCGAGCGGGGGAAACGAGCAGAGGGAGAGCGAGCCAGCGGGGGAAACGAGCAGAGGGAGAGCGAGCCAGCGGGGGAAACGAGCAGAGGGAGAGCGAGCCAGCGGGGGAAACGAGCAGAGGGAGAGCGAGCCAGCGGGGGAAACGAGCAGAGGGAGAGCGAGCCAGCGGGGGAAACGAGCAGAGGGAGGCGAGCCAGCGGGGGGGGAAGACGAGCCAGCAGAGGGAGAGCGAGCCAGCGGGGGAAACGAGCAGAGGGAGAGCGAGCGGGGGAACGAGCAGAGGGAGAGCGAGCCAGCGGGGGAAACGAGCAGAGGGAGAGCGAGCCAGCGGGGGAAACGAGCAGAGGGAGAGCGAGCCAGCAGGCGGGGGAAACGAGCAGAGGGAGAGCGAGCAGCGGGGAAACGAGCAGAGGGAGAGCGAGCCAGGGGGAAACGAGCAGAGGGAGAGCGAGCCAGCGGGGGAAAGACGAGAGAGCGAGGGGAGCGAGCAGAGGAGAGCGAGCCAGCGGGGGAAACGAGCAGAGGGAGAGCGAGCCAGCGGGGGAAACGAGCAGAGGGAGAGCGAGCCAGCGGGGGGAAACGAGCAGAGGGAGAGCGAGCCAGCGGGGGAAACGAGCAGAGGGAGAGCGAGCCAGCGGGGGAAATGAGCAGAGGGAGAGCGAGCCAGCGGGGGAAATGAGCAGAGGGAGAGCGAGCCAGCGGGGGAAATGAGCAGGTAGGAACATAGAGCTAGAGAGTGCGTGCAGAGACAGAAGTATGGAATCATTGAAGATGAGGCTGCAGCTCCCAACCCAGGAATCCATTGGTTGATTGCAGTTGTGTGGGGTCACTGACAGGCACGCCATTTTTATGATGCAACAGGAGGCCCCCCTCCCTACAAAGAATTGGTCATGTGACCACCTGTAAATGATTGGTTGGTAAGTGAAGTTCTCCCCATAATAGAGGTCTCACCTCCTCCTCCCAGGCGAGGGTCCCTTCTTGCTGTCGGCTTTATTTGCAGATTTAGGAGATGAGGAAGAGGACGAGGATGAGGAAGAAGATGAAGAGCCTGAGCCCGATGAAGAGCTCGATGAGGAGGATGACGATGAGGAGGATGAGGAAGAAGAACTGGAGCTTCGGGATCGGCGGGGTTCTCCTTTAGCCACGGAGACCTCTTCCAGTGTCTTGGGTTCTGCTGGTGGTGGGCTGGGGACCCTGGTGGGGGGGAATCATAGAACACACAGGTCATCCACTAGTGTATGGGGAACACGCACTACAGCCCAGGTAGGTCACCACGGGGTCTTCAGAGCCAATACAACCCTGCCCCCCCCCCCCCCCCCCCCCCCGACAATATCCACCTCGAGGGATTCCTGACAAATCTCTAACAGCAACGGGCTCCATCCAGAAGTCGGCAGCTACCAGGGGCGCCGGAGATGTTCCAACGCCTTGGGGAAGCTTCAGGAAGTGTTCATGGATGGTCTGACTGCTGGACATGCTGGGATCTGATAGGTTGTCAGAGCCTTGGGCCTGCATTAACCCCGACCTTTCCTGGTCCCTACGGAGCCTAAACATGACAGCCCAAAACCAATAACACCAGCGCCACCTGTCAGTCAGAGGAGAGATTGCACACTCCTCCAGTCTACAGACCGCCGTGTTCCCTATGCTGCCTTGAAAGTGAGACTGAGGCTCCACAATACGCCAAAGATATCGGGAAGTACACTGGACGCCCCGCCGCCAGCAGGTACTGGACGCCCCGCCGCCAGCAGGTACTGGACGCCCCGCCGCCAGCAGGTACTGGACGCCCCGCCGCCAGCAGGTACTGGACGCCCCGCCAGACTTGAGCAGGTACTGGACGCCCCCAACAAAGCCAAATCTTCATTCAGAGCGTAGGATCAAACGCCGCAGATGCAGAGCTCCGCTCCTCCCCCATGCCGGGGTGACAATCGTGTCCAATTCATGATCTATAGACACTCATGGCCTCCTGAACAGAGACTCCGCTGAAAACTTGGGATCTGGAGGCCCCAACGTTCCCAGGAAGTTGCAGGACAGACATCACCGGTGCCTAGGTCTCTGGGCCGGAAGTCGGGGTCTAATGGAAGTTTGAGGGGGTTTCTTACACCTAGGGATCCTGCATGGTGGCTGGGGGTCCAGCATAAAGCACCTACTTGGTTAAGGGTGTGCCCTGCCTGCCATTGGATGTGAGAACCTCAGTGGGGGGGTTCCCACGACTAGCAGGGGGAGAAAGCACCACTGAAAGCAATGGGAGGCTGCCAGGTCCTGCAGCTAATGGCAGCCACTAGGGGCTCCTGTGCACATTGCAGCGCCTGCCGCCTCAGCAGGATGTGTTTTTGAAGCTTTAACCGCTTCCCTGCCACCCCCAAAACAGAAGTAAACAGGTATGGAGGAGTCATCACTTTGACCCATTCAGACATGGGTGTATTTTTAATGACTGTGCTCTGACATAAAGGTGCCTACAAACTCCTCTTGCTATGCATTTCCTTCAAGGTAATCTTAAAAGGTTGAACCCTTAATAAACAGAAAAATAATTACCTTTCTGCATCCAAAGAAACTGGGGCAGCCTTTGAGGAACTGGCTTCTGGCTCTGACCGCAAAGCTGAAGGACTCTTAGAGGATCTCTCCCGCCTCTTCTGCTGCGTTGGAGACATCAGACTTGGTCTATCTTGTTCTGTGGATCCATTAGCGTGACTCGGTGAATGGGGGGCCTTCTCGCCTTCCAAATTTACCACAGTAGCACAAGTTATGTTTTCTGATTCTAATTTTTGGTTGTCCGCAATCTTTGATTCCATTTCAGAATTGTTCTCTCCACTTCTGGAAGATGGAGGAGTATCTGGAGCATCATTTGCTTTCAGAAGCCTTGGAGGAGACCTGCTACATTCATCCAGTGCTGTCCGGGGAAAAGAAGAACTAAGGCTTGCTGAAGAAGACTCTCCCTTGCTAGCAGAAAGTGCTTGGTCTTGGACGTTTGGCTCTCCAAGCACTGGGCTTTTTTGCAACCTCACAGCATGCTTCTCCAACTGTGGAGGAGATGGTGATCTCTGAGAATTATTTATATGAGACTGAACATTGCTGGACCTTGCTGGAGAGGTAGGATGAGATTTAGTGACAGGACTGGAGGATTTTGCTGGTGACCGTGGACTTTTGTGCCGTAAATCTGATTTATCTGTCCTTGGGGACCTGGAGCGTCCTCGCCCGCCTGACAAGCGAGTCCTTTCTCGACCAGGTGGTGATGGTGAACGGCCGCGTCTAGCCCCTCTGGTGATTTGTGCACTCCTATACCTATCAGAAGATCGGGACCTTGCTCGTCTTTCAGGTGACCTGGATCTCCTCTGTGGGCTCCAAGGTCTCCTTCTTCTAGTTGAGGAACTAGATCTTTCCCCTCTGATAGTAAGGTCTCTCTCGTCGGTGTGGCGATCTTGATCTTCTTCTAGGAGAAAGTCTAGAATTTCCATGGCGGGAATACCGAGAAGAATCTGGTCTTGATAACGATCTTGACCGGCCTCTCCAAGGAGGTGACCCAGAACGACCACGACGAGAACGCCAAACTCGTGATCGAGACCCAGAATGGCCTTGTCTAGGAGATGAAGGGGACCGGCGACGAACCCATCTTCTATGCTCATGCCACGATGGCGACCGCCTGGAAGAGGATCTTGAGCGATTTCTAAATGGGTATCTGTCCGTCCTTGACCGTGAACGTGATCTAAATGCTCGAGGTGGCGTCCTTACTTGTCGTCGTGGTGGTGTCTTGGACATTCTTTTTCTGGATGGTGACCTTGAAGGCGATCGCCTTTTCTGTGGATGTATTTCCCTGCTTACTGGTGATCTAGAAGAGGAATGGGAATGGCTACGTTTCTCTTTGTCTGTCCATTTCCTTGTTTCACGCTTTGGTGACTCCGGAGACAGCTCCCTTTTAGCTGGCGATGCAATACGCCGTATAGGTGGAGGATCTGGCTTGGTGACCTTTTCAGAGGGTTTTGATCGATCAGATGTAGAATGCTCTTCTGAAGAGCTGTTCTCACTTGAAGAATCAGAGCTGCTGTCTTCAGAAGATGAATCAGAGCTACTAGACTTTGAGGAACTACGGGACTTGGGGCTTTTATTTGTCTGAGGAGTTACCGATACTCTACCAGTACTTTGTTCATCATGTGCAGTTGTCATGGAGTCCATCTGGCCATGAAGTGAATCAGTCTGAGCATTTGAAAAATCAGCTCCATCTAAAAGAGGTGGCTGAGGACTTGTCTGCTTTGGAGAAGGTTCACCTTTATATGTAATATCTGCAGGTGTTCTGACTTCACTTGGTTGAGAAACAGGACTGGTCGGTGGTGGTGAGGCATGCAACTTGTCTGCAGTGGCTTTACTGTCTGCAGCAGAAATGGGATACTCAACATAAGCATGAGGAACAGTCTCAGAATTTGATGCAATCATCTGAATCTCAAGGGATGCGCTCTCTTTTACCAAGGAGGACATCTCCAAACAGTGGACGGGGGAGTTGTGACTACCTTGATGATCATCCAGATTGACTTCTGCAGATGGAGATTTAGTTTGGTTGCACAGATCAGCATCTAAATGTTTTTCAGCAGCTGACTCTAATGGTTTGTCACAAACTGCATCTTCAACAGATTTTTGTTCTGGGGAATAACTGGTTGCAGGAGAATCATGGCTAATCCTTAGTCTTTTAGAGGGAGGAGATGTTGCCTTCTTTACAGGCGAAGAACTTGGTTCATCATCCTCTTCAGAAGACGAAGATGAGGAGGAGGAAGAGGACGACGATGAGGATGATGAGGAGGAAGAGGAGGCAGAGGATGAAGATGAGGAGGATGAAGATGAGGATGAACTGGATTTTTTTCTGTCAGATCTTTTCTTTGCCATATCTCGGACTGGGGATGAGTCATCCATCAGTGGAACTTCATTCCTGGAAATATCATGGTCAGATGAAATGGGCCCTTTCACAGGCATTTCAAGAACTGCTGGAACTGGGGAGGACACAGAGTCCTTGACAGGTTCATGGATCAGCCTATCCCTGCTCAGCCTTGACTCTGTTCCATTTACATCTAAAATAGGGGATGTAACTGAACATTCCTCCCTTTGCTCTGGACTTGCTTTGCTGGAAATTGTACTATGGTCTGGTTCCAGTTCAGATTTATTTGCAACTTCAGTTGCAATCTTTGATACCTCATCTTGAGAAATTCTCACTATCAGAGGAGGTGTTGCTTTTTGAACAAGATCTTTTATCTGAAGAGGATTCATCTCTAGTAGGAGAAATGTCCATCTCTTCTTGCTTCTTTGGAGAAGGTTCTGGTTGTACCTGAAGTCGCTGTGTAATTGAGGACTTTGAAAATGCTGGAGACAAAGGTCCACCAGCAGAGGCATCCAAAGACTTCCCTTCGTTTCTGGAAGATGGAGACCGTGAATTATACTCTTGTTTTCAGAGGATCGTGATTTGTATGGTGGTGTCCTTGATGCACAAATTTCAGGGGATCCTGAATGAGATTTTTTCTGAGGCGACCTGGGTTTAGTGTCTCGTTCAGATGAAGAATCAGAGCTAGAGGTACGTTTGTGAGATCTCTCTCTTAACTCAGTTACTGAGGACTTAGAATTGGCTTTTCTTGGGTGGTCTGATGATCTGGACCTTTCTCTAATCTGAGGGGATGCTGAATCATGTTTAGATAAACGAGAGACCTCTTTATTACTGTGAGAAGATTTTAGATTGGATTTTGAACCTGAAGAGGAATAAGAATCAGATCTTGCAGGATGTTGGTAAGATGTTCCAGAAACAGCTCCACCATGAAGTGGCTTACTCTTGGGGGGCCTTTCAGATGATGAGCCTGAACTATGCCTTTGCCTACCTACGTCAAACTTAGCTGAGCGGTCTGAAGAGGAACTCTCAGTACCCCTTGATCGTCGTCTTGGTAGTCGTTCAGATGACGACCTGGAGCTGGTTCTTTTTGGTTCAGGTCTGCTTCTTGACCCTCTCTCTGAAGAAGATCCCGAACTTGATCTGGTTGATTGCCTCCTAATTTTTTGTTGACTGTCTGAACCCGTTTGGGATTTTGCCATTTTGTTTCTAGGCCCTCTGTCTGGAGAAGACTCTGAACTGGACTTAGATTTTGCTGACCTCGATCTCTGCTCATTTTCTGATAAGGGTCTATTAGCAGGCAGAATAGATTTAACTGTACCATCTGGAGACGCCTCACATCTTTCCCTATATTTAGAGATTGGCTGATTTGAAGACTTAGGCCTAGCTTTGGACTTCTCTTCACGTTCTGATAAGGAGTCAGATCTACTTCTGCTCTGTAATGATTTTGCTTTGAGTTCCAAAGTGGATGAACGCTTTGTCCCTGGTTTAAGTCCTTTAGTGTCATGTTCTGACTGAACTCTTGATTCAGTGCTCTTTGACAACAGTTTAGCTCTGTATTCACGTTCTGTTGATGAACCAGACCCTTCTTTGCTGTGTGAACTGGAAGAGCCATCTTCACTTTCTGATGAAGAACGAGATCTATTTTTACCTAAAGCACGCGTCGAACCTTTCCTGTCTTCTGAAGACTGGAGTTTGGATTTTGGCCGGGATTCACGTTCTGAAGAGGACTCTGACCTATATTTATTACCAGAAGTTTTTAATTTGTCAAGAATGGGTCTTGACTCATCTTTTCGAGATGATCCATATTTACCCTCCATGGAACGACTCTGCAATGGAGATGCAGATGACCTTGTATGGGAAATTTTGGCCGACTCTTTAGATCCTGGTCTACGCTCAGGAGAAAGATTAGACTTCTTGGCCAGTGGGGCTCTAGACCTATTGATCTCTCCACCTCTGCTACGAATAGGTGAAGATTCTTCTGTCAACCTGCTTCTACGTGATGTCTGTGAGACGGGAGAGGCTGATGGACTTCGCCCTCCTGCACTCTTGTTATTTAGGGGCTCTGTACGTCCGGATGTCTTGTATATCTTTTCTTGTTCAGGAGAGCATCTATTTTGGCGCCCCTTTGGTTCTGGTGAGGAACTGTACCTTTTTTTGCTGGACTCCAATTTCTTATCCGTTTTTCTGGCCGAACCTTTTTCAGACGAAGGTGATCTTGTTCTTCTTGATTTGGATCTAGATACAGACCTCTGGGATCGATCCCTTGATGAAATCTTTTTCAGGAATGGAGACACTGAACGTGATGAAGATTTTTCTCCTGGAGGCCTGGGGTTTATCTCTGGGCGACGCTAACCTCTTTTGCGTCATTCTAGAAGACGACTGTTGCTTAGGAGATCGTGAGCGAGACTTCTTCTTTCCATATAATTGTGGACTACGGCTACGTGACTTAGAAGCTATAGAAGCATCAGAAGGTGACCTTCTCCTTTGATGTCTTGAGTTTGATCGTGACCCGTCTTTATCACGATACGTCACAGAAGGAGACCTTGCCCATTTTTGTTCAGATTTGGTCAGTTTCTTCTGCTTTGGAGACCGAGAGCGGGATCTTGTTCTCTTGACTGGCGAGCGAGTGCGTGATCTTTCCTGTCTGTCAGATGAGCGGGAATGTGACCTTTCCTTTCTCCGAGGAGAGCGTGTGATGGGGCTTACACGGCGAAACTGGTGACCTAGACAGTGATCTTTTGGATGAATGGGTACGAGACCCTTCACTCTTTTTAGGAGTTTCAGATCTGTCTCGCTGCTGAGTTGATTTGTGTTTATCACCATGGGAAGACCTCTCTTTATCACGCTGGTGACGTGGAGGTGTTTGTGACATAGATCTCTGCCTTCGCTGGGGAGTTTTTGATCTGGCACGACGTGGGGGGCGTTGGAGATGGCACTCGTGCTTTTTGGGGAGACTTAGAGGGAGAATGAGCTTTGCGCTTTGGACTCTTGGATTTTCTACGTCTAGGAGGGGTAGAAGGCGATCTGGCTTTGCGCTGAGGTGTTACTGATCGACCTTTCCTTGGTGGGCTCTTTGAAGTGGAACTCCTTCCTGGAGGGGATCTTAGTTTGCGTGGTCTCTGAGGACTAGGAGAAGCACTTTTCTTTGACCTCCTATCACGGTCCACCTGTCTAACCGGTGAGGGCCTCGTCCTTTTGTCCTCCGTTTGTGTTACTGACTTGCCATGCTTATCTCCAGCATCTGATTTGTAATTTTTTGTACTTTGCTTGCCACCAGCCTGACTCTTTCGCACATCTCTGACCTTCTCATGATCAGACACTTCACTTCCTGATGAAGACGATGATGAGGAGGAGGAAGAGGAGGAGGAGGAGGAGGAGGAGGAGGGATGAACGTGTAGCTTTTGAAGTCTTACTTGGGGCTGGTGGTGAGCGCTTATTACTAACACGCTTGTCATATTTGGATGAACTCTCTTGGGGTGCTCGTTCTGGGGAGGCTTGGTCTTGAGATGGGCTTCTCTCTCTTCTAGACCCTTTAGAAGATTGTGTCTGAGTAGCAGGAGATCGACGACGAAGAGGAGAATCTTTCCTCCTCAACCCTTCTGCTCCTTTGGCGTCTGAAGAGCGCTCCTTTGGACTGTCCCGCCGGCTTCTCTTTCGGGGTACGGGACTGGACGTGGGAGATGTTTCTCGGGAAGGTGATCGGTATGAATTCTTCTCAGCCTTGTCTCTGTGTCTGTCTTCTCTTTTATTATTTCGGTCAGTGGCTGTCCGGGAATTATTACGTCTTCTTGGAGACGGAGATGCTGAACGGTCTCGGACAGATGGCTCTTTCCTCAATCCCTTCTGTCAAAGACAGCACAAGGAACAGGCAAATGTTACTTACAATAAAATATTCAATCAATCTAATCTGAAATAAAGGAAATGAACCCCAAACACCCCACATGGCAACAATGTAGCCGAAAAGGTACATGGATTTTCCTTAGTCTGCTGGGCACATGTTTACCTTGCACCAATGGCAGCTCCATTTACTTTGAAGCAGCATACTCCTCAGATCTTCCCTCAAAGACTAATCTGATCATTTTGTGTCCATGGGACTGGATGCTTGTGGTTGCTCTATCCTCAGCACCACCCACCTCACCACCCCTGTGACCATCGGCAATTTTGTGGACATCATCATGGAAGGAACCATTGTATGGCACTGTACCCGAGCAGGAACTTCCTGCCTGTCTTACCTTATCGCTACCCAGCTCTACCTACTCGTGATTTGCCCCCCCCCCCATGAGTCAAGTAATCCTGCACTGCATTTGTGTTCCTTACTTACCTGTCTGAATCCAATGTAAAGTGGAGCTCCACCCAAAGGGGGAAGTTCCACCTTAAGGATTGGTCGCCCGCTCCTGTTAAGGATTGGCACGCCTTTGGGGAATGGGTACCCAAAATTGACAGGTAGGTACCCGCTCCCACTTCCGCTGCCTAGGCGATCAGAAAGTGGAAGTTGTCCTCCCCGTAGTCTTCTGGGACACGACAGGTCCCAGAACACTACGGGATCATTCAGAAAGCGCAGTGCTACTCGCGTATGTGCAATGGGCACCCGGCTGTGAAGACGCACGCTGTCACAGCCGGGTGCCCACACTGAAGATGCCGGCACCAGGAACACAGGGCGGCAGGTGACACGGGCTGTGGGGGACACATCCCAGGATCAAGGGTCAGGTAAGTGTCCATTTTTTAAAAGTCAGCAGCTGTAGTATTTGTAGCTTCTGACTTTTATTTTTTTGGATAGAGACATGGGTGGAGGGAGACACGGATGGGTGGGTGGGTGGGGGGAGGGAGACGCGGATGGATGGGTGGGTGGGGGGAGGGAGACACGGATGGGTGGGTGGGTGGGGGGGGGAGGGAGACACGGATGGGTGGGTGGGGTGGGGGGGGGAGGGAGACACGGATGGGTGGGTGGGTGGGGGGAGGGAGACACGGATGGGTGGGTGGGGGGGGGGAGGGAGACACGGATGGGATGTGGGTGGGTGGGGGGGGGAGGGAGACACGGATGGGTGGGTGGGGGGGGGGGGAGGGAGACACGGATGGGTGGGTGGGTGGGGGGGAGGGAGACACGGATGGATGGGGGGAGGGAGACACGGATGGATGAGGGAGGGAGACACGGATGGATGGGTGGGTGGGGGGAGGGAGACACGGATTGGGTGGGTGGGGGAGGGAGACACGGATGGGTGGGTGGGTGGAGGGAGACACGGACGGGTGGGTGGAGGGAGACACGGATTGGGTGGGTGGTGGAGGGAGGGAGACACGGATTGGGTGGGTGGAGGGAGGGAGACACGGATTGGGTGGGTGGAGGGAGGGAGACACGGATTGGGTGGGTGGAGGGAGGGAGACACGGATTGGGTGGGGTGGAGGGAGGGAGACACGGATTGGGTGGGTGGAGGGAGGGAGACACGGATTGGGTGGGTGGAGGGAGGGAGACACGGATTGGGTGGGTGGAGGGAGGGAGACACGGATTGGGTGGGTGGAGGGAGGGAGACACGGATTGGGTGGGTGGAGGGAGGGAGACACGGATTGGGTGGGTGGAGGGAGGGAGACACGGATTTGGGGG